CACATCAATAACTACTTTAGGTCTACTAATATATTATCTTTATATATATGTTTACAACAGAAAATATATGTTTTATACATTTTTACTTCAATCAGTAAATAGTGTACCTACTATAAGCTTGCAGTTTATTTTTATAGTTTCAAACATTTATCAATCATAGAGCTCTGATGATGAGTTTGCATTAAAGTAGGCAAAGTCTAAACAATTTGTTCACATTTTTATTTTATCAACATAATATTAATATAAATACTTTGAAAACTTCATCTTAATTATTATTAGTACCTAAGCATAGCAATGTGCAAGTCGCAAGTGTCTTGGAGATTAACAAAGTAATTCGATAGACTAACTTTAAAAATATTTACATCGTAATAATAATAATTAAAATATGATGTAGATAATATATGTATAGTACTCAAATATAAATAAGATTAAATTATATAAACATATTATTACGCCTCATTTTTTTTTCGAACTTTTTGATTTTTGATCTGAAAACATTATTCAAGGTTTTTAGTGCACATATTTGTACATATATGTTGGATTACTGAAACACTGATTTAAATAATAAGAATATTAAAAATGAAATCAGTGTTTTGAAATAAGTAGGTAATATGTTTATTGTTTGTATTTCATTTTGTCGTCGTAACATATGAAAATCTTGAGTCAACTCAACAAACAGCAAATCAAAAAGTAGAACACACCTTATTTTATATTACGAATGTAAATTTTTTTTTTACAAATTTTTTGACAGTAGTAAAACATATATGTTGTTGATTTTAATAAACAGTTTTTTGGGTCTGTAAAATTTCTCCAAAAGTTTCATACCTAGCTCTAACGGTTCAACATAAATAGACTATTTTTAAAATACTCAGTAATTTGATAAAAAAAACTGCAAAGTTTTTATAAAATTATTGAAGTGTCAAGTTTAAAAATACTTTTAACTCATTTAAGGGAGATAAAAGTGGTGCAAAATGTTCTCAAAGTATTTCATTATATTATGGTACAATTGTATTAAAATGTAATTACTTGCAATTTACAAAAGTGCATTATTTTTATTATTTTGTGAATATTTACGAAAAATATTCAAGAAGCTTAAATATAATATGTGTATCGTTTTCCAAATCTTAATTTTACATTCAAGAAATGTAGGTATATGTCGGATTATAAGTTATAAGTTATTAAAAACATATGAAATGGCAAATTATCGTTTGAAACTATAAAAAAACTCCCGAAACAACATTGTTTTTAAATCTCAAAACAACTAATTAACCCAATAACATGATAGGTAACAGACAATTAAACCATAAATACCATTAATCAACAAAATCATACACATCTTTGTTCAAAGACAACAACTTCCTGTCTCCACCCAGAATATAAGACCAAATGTGTGCATGAACATGTAATAAACAATCTAATAATATGTTTTTAAAGACTTCGTAAAACAAAATATTTTTTAAAAATAAAATTAAATGAATGTTTATTAACTACTTACTATACATCTGTATGTATAAATATATATATTTGAAACTGGTATAAAATATAGACAACTATAATGCATTTTATAGGTATATCATCGTAATACTGAGTTTATATTACGTTGGTAGTATTTTTTTTTTATAAATATCAATAAAATTGTATTTGTTGGGTAAAAAATATTTAATGCAAAGCTCCTGATATATTGATACAATAGCAGTTGAAAAATATTAGAAATATATAGGCACAATTTTTTTTTATAAGCATTTAAAGTTCGAATTTTGACAAAATGTATTATTTTTGAATTTAATAATTATCGTAATATGCATAGGCTGACTGACTGCTTTCGCACAGAATCGTTTTTCTTATACAGTGATATTATATCATTGAATTCAAATTTAATACCATCCATTATACAGTGACCCACTTGTAACCTACTGTACAACAGAGCACCATTTTAATATTTACAAGTGATTTTATAATTTTATTGAGTAGGTATTAATTATATTTTCATAAAATTTGAATCGTAACTTAATAATTTTTAATGACTAACAGCTCCGTGGATTCTGTTTTATGTTAATGGAAACTAATATTCGGATGTTATATTTCTATTTATGTATTAATCACAGCAGGTGCAAGATCAATATCGTTTACATAAGCTCAAGAAAACCTTCAGCACAGATGATTTATGGACATTTTATATAGTTTGTGAACTTAATAAGTTTGATGTGGATAAGTATTGTTATCTCGAATTCAATTTAATTATCAATCATTTAAATAGATAAATGATTTTTGATTATTGTTCTAAATAATATTGACGTCTAAGGATATTAGTTTAAAAATACTTACATTTTATTTCAAATATAAGTTTATCCCAATTTAAGTTGTAAAATTTAGTTTCCTTAAGTTAATAATATTTATATTTAATTGGATGTCTGGTCCTATCTATTATTGTGATATTTTTGTTTATTTCTTGTGTCTTCATATTTTTTGCATTCTGTTAAGATATGTTTAACGCTATAATCCACTCAAAATGATTAATGTAAGGATGGATCGCTGAATCAAGAAATGTCTAATGTAAAACCACTTTATTTCACTCTAATATCATAAAATTATAAAATATCTTCAGAATTCAGATATAAACTGATACCATAAACCCGATTCACTTCATTGGTAATTTTCTATAATAGTCCAAACTTTCTTAAACCACCGATCAAACCAAAAAAGGAAATAAATTATGTGAATGTTCATCAAAATCATGTCCAATATACCGTGCAATTAAAAAGTTAGATTTTATATAAATTCTAACCTTAAATAATATTTAGATCAAACAAACTTTGAGGTTTCTATGGTTCTCATAATATTAACAACTTTAAATATTACACAGCATTCTTTTTATAACTTTTTCTTTTGACATAGACTTTCAAACATTTTGTGACAAGTTACTAACAACTTTCATGAAAACTTAAAATGGGTTTAGCTGCAACAATAGTTAACACATCAATAACTACTTTAGGTCTACTAATATATTATCTTTATATATATGTTTACAACAGAAAATATATGTTTTATACATTTTTACTTCAATCAGTAAATAGTGTACCTACTATAAGCTTGCAGTTTATTTTTATAGTTTCAAACATTTATCAATCATAGAGCTCTGATGATGAGTTTGCATTAAAGTAGGCAAAGTCTAAACAATTTGTTCACATTTTTATTTTATCAACATAATATTAATATAAATACTTTGAAAACTTCATCTTAATTATTATTAGTACCTAAGCATAGCAATGTGCAAGTCGCAAGTGTCTTGGAGATTAACAAAGTAATTCGATAGACTAACTTTAAAAATATTTACATCGTAATAATAATAATTAAAATATGATGTAGATAATATATGTATAGTACTCAAATATAAATAAGATTAAATTATATAAACATATTATTACGCCTCATTTTTTTTTCGAACTTTTTGATTTTTGATCTGAAAACATTATTCAAGGTTTTTAGTGCACATATTTGTACATATATGTTGGATTACTGAAACACTGATTTAAATAATAAGAATATTAAAAATGAAATCAGTGTTTTGAAATAAGTAGGTAATATGTTTATTGTTTGTATTTCATTTTGTCGTCGTAACATATGAAAATCTTGAGTCAACTCAACAAACAGCAAATCAAAAAGTAGAACACACCTTATTTTATATTACGAATGTAAATTTTTTTTTTACAAATTTTTTGACAGTAGTAAAACATATATGTTGTTGATTTTAATAAACAGTTTTTTGGGTCTGTAAAATTTCTCCAAAAGTTTCATACCTAGCTCTAACGGTTCAACATAAATAGACTATTTTTAAAATACTCAGTAATTTGATAAAAAAAACTGCAAAGTTTTTATAAAATTATTGAAGTGTCAAGTTTAAAAATACTTTTAACTCATTTAAGGGAGATAAAAGTGGTGCAAAATGTTCTCAAAGTATTTCATTATATTATGGTACAATTGTATTAAAATGTAATTACTTGCAATTTACAAAAGTGCATTATTTTTATTATTTTGTGAATATTTACGAAAAATATTCAAGAAGCTTAAATATAATATGTGTATCGTTTTCCAAATCTTAATTTTACATTCAAGAAATGTAGGTATATGTCGGATTATAAGTTATAAGTTATTAAAAACATATGAAATGGCAAATTATCGTTTGAAACTATAAAAAAAACTCCCGAAACAACATTGTTTTTAAATCTCAAAACAACTAATTAACCCAATAACATGATAGGTAACAGACAATTAAACCATAAATACCATTAATCAACAAAATCATACACATCTTTGTTCAAAGACAACAACTTCCTGTCTCCACCCAGAATATAAGACCAAATGTGTGCATGAACATGTAATAAACAATCTAATAATATGTTTTTAAAGACTTCGTAAAACAAAATATTTTTTAAAAATAAAATTAAATGAATGTTTATTAACTACTTACTATACATCTGTATGTATAAATATATATATTTGAAACTGGTATAAAATATAGACAACTATAATGCATTTTATAGGTATATCATCGTAATACTGAGTTTATATTACGTTGGTAGTGGTTTTTTAAGTATAAAAAAAGCCATGTAATTCTAATGTAACTTATATGAAAGCTGTTAAGACTTTCAAATGCATAGTAACACAAATAACTAAGGCGGGGCAGAAACATTTCTTCGTGGATTAGCAATGTTTTAATGATTTTTTATAAATTGAGTTTGATTGATAAAATGCTTTGCTCCCGTTAGTATTGTAATTACACTAAAATAAAATAAAATATTTCAATAATAGACCTAATTTATTTGAAAACATTTTTTTTTTACACATTCAGACATTAAATAAATTGTTCTGTGAATTAACTATTTACATTTTATACAATTATTTTCGAATAGAAATATTTGCACTCAGTGATAAAGAAAGAATTTTTTTTAATCTGTAACTAAATGTAGATACTTACACATTTAATAAACAATTAATAGAAATTAGTATAAAATATACTCACTGCAATCTTGTTCGTCTTCTCCCCCATCGCAATCAGCAATCTTATCACATCGTTTCACCAGTTCAATACATTTGTTCGTACATCGGTACTCGTTTTGTAAACATCCTGAAAATAATGATTATACGTAATCAGTAATTTTAAACGAAATCAATATCAACATGAATATGATTTTTTTTAATTTTGCCATAAATCTATATTTAGGTAAAAAATTGTCATAACCGATGACAAAATATATCGGTAATAGACTGTCTGATTTGTTCAACCTATTAACGAGAGTTTTTTTACTGGTATAAATTACAAGATAATCGTCATATATTCACTGCAAAAATTCTAAAAACTATTATTAAACCAACCATTCCTTAATTAATATTATGTATTATCATCTTCTAAGTTTAGTAAGGGAACATAATATAATTAATCGGCCGTGTACTTAGGTAACTTTATAAAAAGTAATTTTATATAGTGATATATCAACAGTCAGGACGTCAATCTAGTGAATTTCGTTAACTTTAACGAAAACAAAAATGTCACGATTTTACACTTTATATTCAAATGTGGTTCTTAGAGACTTATATTGATTAATGACATATATATGTAATTAAAAAGTGTATGTCATTGCCATAAACACATGGACTAAGTGCTTAGACTTTCAACACTTGCTAAAATATTCTGATAGATGGTTGTATACTTATTTTGAAATAAAACCGGAAAAATCATTGATACCTAATTCATAACCTTTCGTTTTTAACAGACTTAACATAGTATTCTCTATTTCTCTGTATACCCATCTCGCATGGTTGCATTGAAGATATTTAATAAAATACAACTGTTTTATAGCTTATACATTATACAACCATTATTTATTTATTCAATTCCCTCATTATCAGAAAATATCTTTAAACTATTTCATAAAAAACACATCAAATGTATGGTTTACAACAATCGTATTTTAAATTATTTTTTTCTTTAAATAAAACCAAAAAAAATATATAAAGATTTAAAATATACTTAGGATTTTCTTTTTGAAAAATTATTATAACAAAGAGGGTCTACAATAAAAATTATAAGAAAAAGAAACTCACAATAGTAAATAATAAAAAGTATGATTATAGGAATGACACGCTTCTCTCGCATTGGTAAACCAATATTATATTATTATTATACATTTTAAAACAATGATATACCTACCATAGAATTCAAAATATTATTTTCAGCAGGGATTAATATTTTATGGATTATATAATTAGTATATTCTATAATATATAGTAAATCTGTACCGGTATACACTGCCTGTATATACTCATATACGAAGTTTTAAATATTATAAGAATTTATAAAAGTATAAAGATTTTAAACATTTAGGTATTGTTTATTTTAAAACGACATAGATACTATGATATTCAAAGTTAAAATTATTTTTATAATCAACTGTCAACAAAACTAATCAGAGATGAATTTAATTATAAATTAAAACCAAATTTGCTCAGATTTCCACGATATATTTTTAATTATTGGTAGTTTTTATCACATAGAAAAATTACTAAGAAAACAACAAAATACCAACTTAATTCGATTTAAAATTTAAATTTAATGGATAAGGTTACATGCATTTATGACAGTTTTAGTATCAAAATGTATTCAAATAAAAATAAACATAATACATTACTTTTTTCACTAAAAATAAATTAAATTATCAAGTAAATCCAACTATTTGCGTCAATTTTCACAAATGTATATAAATATTTTTCAAAAATGTTCGATATGTAGAAAGCAGATATTTTAATAATATTAATATTTGGTTCGTATATGATTCTAAAGCAACAAATAATTTAAAACCCAATACGTTTTTTGTTTGTAAATTACAAAGTGTAAAAAAAAAGTTACATATAACATAAAATAGAACAACTTTTTAAGATCTGGGACTATGGTTTTGAAGAGATATTTTTATTATTTAACATAGTATAATTAGAAACTGTGGTTGTCGAAAAGCAGGTCTTAAGTGTTCAATTATATGTGGACATTGCAAAGGCCAATGGTGCACCAATTCTATAGAAATAGAGGTTGATTGCAGTGGCGTCAGAGGGGGGGGCTAACGGCTGAATCCCCCCATCGTCCGTATTATTATAACTTAAAAAAAAAATATATTTATCAAATTTCAAAGTTTCAATTGTCAATTATTGTAAGCAAGACGTAAATTTCATATTATACGTCTTACCAAAATGAATTCAATTTTGAAAAAACATTGTATTTGTTACCAATTTTCATAAATTATCTGTAATTTTTCGGTAAAAGTATGAACTAGGTACTTGTATAAAAGACCTTGAATCAAATTGTCTAGCCTTAGCTATTCACATTTAATATTTTATAAGTTTTGAACTACAAATTAACTATGGTTTTGACGAAATTTGAACTTAAAATGCTTATAAAAAATAACCATGATGCCTATGTATCGTTAGTATTTTAGCTATAATAAAACTTACGTATTACGTTTTTAAGCTTTTTGACAGGATAAATAATTTTTTATTGACATTTATAGAAAAAAAAATTTTAATTGATCAAATACAATCCAAGCTGGTTACCAAACAACTTTAATAAATTTTCTTTTTTTTTTCTCTAATTGTTTTAAAAAGCACTGAGCATTTTCATTTTCGAATGAATTAAAATACCTCAAATAAACGTCTGAAATCATTTTACAGGGCAAAATAAAAATTACCAATTTTTAAACCCCCCCCCCCCCTTTTAAAAATCCAGCGTACGCCACTGGTTTATTGTATAGAAGATTATACGCTTGTAGAATTATTAGATGAAATCGTAGAAGAATAAGAAGAATACGAAACATACAGGTATAATCTGCCTGGCCTATATATTATAGTGTAATTAAGAGGATGTCAGTGCTATATTTGTTTTCTCTCTCTGGCCCACTCGCAACATAGACAAAACGCATTAACGCGGAATCATTTTTTCTATATTTTTAAGTAATCTTAGACTAAAATCATTTATTACAAAAAAGAAAGAGAATAATATTTTTAATAACATATCGATTTGTCTAAATATTGTCTAAAAACAATTTAAACATAATTTAAATTTACAACATATTTTTGTTTATTTTGAAAGTTGAATAAAAAGTCAAATAACAATAAAATATAAAATCGATATGTCATGCCTCAAAAATATTATTTTCTATCTTTTTTGTAATGTGATTTTACTCTAAGATTACTTAAAATCTTAGACTGTAGATACTTGAAAATTTCACTGAATGTTTATATTAGCATTTCCTATCCACCATACAATTTTGAAAATATTTTGACTCTCTTTGAGCTGTTTACGGACATTTTCAGTTTTCAATTTTTTTAAATTTTTTTTTCTATAAATATCAATAAAATTGTATTTGTTGGGTAAAAAAGAGTGAAAATGTAATGCAAAGCTCCTGATATATTGATACAATAGCAGTTGAAAAATATTAGAAATATATGGGCACAATTTTTTTTTATAAGCATTTAAAGTTCGAATTTCGACAAAATGTATTATTTTTGAATTTAATAATTATTTTGTAGTTAAAAATGTGTAAAATGTTTAACTTTTATAGCTAAGGATTGAAAATTTAAAACAAGGGTCCACGTAAATAGGTAAACATATAAATTATTTTATTCACAATAATATCATCAAATATACTTCGTAATATCATAGGCTGACTGACTGCTTTCGCTCAGAATCGTTTTTCTTATACAATGATATTATATTCAAATTTAATACCATCCATTTTACAGTGACCCACTTGTAACCTACTGTACAGCAGAGCAACTTTTTTATATTTGTAATAATTTTTGAGATATTCAAAAAACCTCATATTTTTAAACTTTCATGTGTTAAAAAAAAAGCTCCTATCAATGGTGACTTTTAGTATGTTATAGGGCATCTTTTATTAAAACTTTTAAAAAAAATCTTGGTTTTGATTTTTCCGCCATTTTTTCTTTTTTGCCTGGCCTATTACTTTTAGGATCACTTTTATCTTTACTTTTAACTTGACATTATGAATTAAAAAAAAAATCAAACAAAATAGACTGACTTTAATTCCAGTTCATTGGTTTAACTTTTTTTTGTTCATAGTTTTAATGAATGTACACAAATAGCATGTTGTATAATACATAAATACTTGATAATGGTACTATTGTAGATTTTTGTACTAGCAGTGACTGACTAAACCCTCTGAAGTCGTATCGTATACGGAGAATCTAATATAATATCGTACAGGGAAACACAACACTAACTTTGAAAATGGTACCGTTGAATAGGTAGCACCAAAGGAGAACTAAATAATGGTATTATAGTGGAAATTAGTGCTCGAATTTTTCCGCTATCTTCAAGCAATTAAATAAGTATCAACTATTAATCATTATCGCTACCAATACTTATAACAATTATTAATGTTTGAATCCCATATAATAAATTCCTTTACCAGGAATACCTACCACTCAACCTGAATAAGACTTATAATATAACGTTATTCATTGATATGGGAATTTAAATGGATCTAATGGACTGTATACATAGCCGTCCCAAGGGGGGGGGGCAAATGGGGCAAGTGCCCTAGGGCGTCTAAAGTATTATGAATTTAGGGGGCGTACTAGAAATGGATGATAAAAAGAAAAATTTGGTGTTCTTATTTTAGGTATTATTTTTTTGTTTATACTGTAATATCAAAGATGAGTATCTATCAAATTGTATACTATTAAGTAGGTATACAATTATGTAAATAATGTGTTAAATCTTAATGCGACATAACTTCAATAATAATATATTGAATATTCATAAAAACAAATAAAAATATTAATACTTATAATTTATAAGATTATTAAGATTACAATAGTAATTTATTTAAGCACATGAAATATATTTTAAATATGTATATACATCATTACAATAATTAAGTAATATACTGTATACTATATTGTAATATACTTATAAACTAAACTAATTCATATCTTTGGTACCTAGTAGTACTTTTTTTTATTTTGTGTCTGTCATCACGTTTTAGGACAGTAAAAGTGCTTGGATTTTCTTCAACAGTATCTTTTCTTATAGGAAAGTGAATCTAGTTGGTACTT